TTAAAGAAAAATGATAGGCAGCAATCACTGCATAGTTACTATATGCCAGGTACTGTGTTGATTGCTTTTACATATATTATTTAATTGTCAAAACAACGTTAGAAGGTAGGTACTAATTTTTTTAGTCCCAGTTTCTGATGAGGAAACTTAAGCTTAGATAGGTCAGGTAATTTGCTGTTTGTATTATAAACATTGATGATTGATAAGTGATGTCAAACCTTTTTCTCTGAAGCTTTTTAAACATTATTTATTTAATTGTTTTTAAATAGGGTCTTGCTCTACTACCCAGGCTAGAGTGCAGTGGCATCATCATGGCTCACTACTACATCAAACGCCTCAGCTCAAGTGATCCTCCTGCTTTAGCCTCCTGAGTAGCTGGGACTGCCTGTGTGTGCCACCATGCCTGGCTAATTTTTTTATTTTTTATAGAGATGGAGTCTCACTATGTTGCTCAGGCTGGTCTTGAACTCCTGGGTCAAGTGATCCTCCCACCTCAGTCTCCCAAACTGCTATTATTACAGGTGTGCGCCTGGCCTTCTCTGCTGCTTTTTAAGGGTTATTTGCTACTCTTCTGAGTGGTACTTAACCTACATAGTTAACCATGCTCTTATTGGTGGTTTTCCCTTTTTTCATTATTGTTAATAAAGTTGCAGTGAATATTTGTTCCATATTTATGATTATTTTTCCACATTTAAGATTTTTTTTCTTAATTTCAGAAGTAGAACTAATAATAGATAAGTTGTATTTTTATTTTTTATTTTTTTCTTGCCTGTTCATATGTTTTACTTCTACTTGCTTTCTCATTTCTTTCCTCCTGGAGAATCATCACTTGGTCATTGTATTACTCTGCTTAGGCTACCATAACAGAAACTGTAGACTGGATGGCTTAAACGACAGAAATTTGTTTCTCACAGTTCTGGAGGCTAGGAAGTCTAAGATAAAGGTGTGGCCAATTTGGTTCCAGGTGTGGGCTCTTTTCCTAAGCGGACAGCTGCCTTCTCTCTGTATCCTCATATGGCAAAGGGAGTGAATGAGCTCTCTGGTGTCTTTTGTAGGACACTAATCCTATCAGATCAGGGCCCCACCCTGTGTACTCATTGAACCTTAATTACTTCCTTACTCCAAATAGTCACATTGGAGGTTGGGGCTTTAACATATGAATTGGGCAGGGGCACAAACATTCTGTCTATAACAGCCCAATAACTCATCTCAGTTATTGGTAAGATCTTTCCAATGAAGAGATATGCCCAGTAGAAAATCAGTGGATTCTGAATTTAGTGAAGTATTTGGTCTCCTCAGTCTCACCAACAGAGGTAGGAGAATTCTCTCTCAGGGGTAGTGGAAGTTAAGCCCTAAATAGTCTTCCTTCCTGTGGCTTCTTGCTTTCTTCAGTATCTTTTTCTGTTCCTGATTTTGAATGTCCTGGATTACTGTTAAGTTCTCCTGTTTGACTTTATTTGCTGCATCTTTCTGTTTCTTCCTATAATTTATTTTACTTGCTCCCTTAATTGGATATCTTTCAAGACTCTTTATTTTTCTGTTAGTCTTCATTTATGCTCAAGCTTAAGAGAGATTCTTTCTTCAGTTGTGTTGGTAATGCTAATCTTGCCATCACCTAAATTTTAGTCCCATTTAAAGAGCAGATTCATCTGATCCAGTATTGTTTTCTAGAGCTGTACACAAAAAAACGTGAGCACAAGGAGGTTCATTGAAGCCTATAGAGAATAGATTAGAAATAGCTTAAATGCCCCTAGATCTGATTCTTTTAAAACATCTTTTAAAAGTCAGCTGATGTCCCTAAAATATCTTCCCATAAATAAATAAAGAATAAAACGTAAAGTTTTCACATATCTTTCAAGGCCCTATGAGATCTAGTTCCCACGGCCTCTGTGACTTACATTCTTACAACTCTTCCCCTCAGGCACTGAGGGGAAGGTGCTGTGTGCCTCCTTGAATAAGCCAACCACTCGAATGTCAGTCCTTTCTCTAGCCTTTCCTTCAGCTCCAGTGTTCGATGGCTCGTTCAGGGCTCTCTGCTTAATTGTAACCTCAGAAAGGCTGTCCCTGACTGCCCCAATAAAATACCACACTCCTTACCCTTCTTTATTTTTCTTCATAGCACTTAACATCATCTGTGTACTGTTTATTTCTTCGTTGATCCCCCCCCCACACACACACACACACAAACGCTTCTATGAGAGTTAGGGTTTTTATTAAATTTATTTTTAATTTTATATCTAATACCTATAGTAGCACTTGTCAATAGAAGGAGTTCAGTAAATTATTTTTTGAATGGCTAGCAATAAGAAGTGGATCAAGTGGCACATTTCATGTAATTGCCATCTAGTCATTTATGAGGTGATACAGGAAATGTCTCATGATATAATAAGGAGAGAAAAATATAGGAGTGTATGTTCCAATTTTGTTTAATTAAAAGTTAATTATTAATATAAGAAATAGACTAGTATGTTAAATGGTTAATTCTGAGTAGTAAAGTTACAGGCAACTTTTTTATTCTTGATATAATCATCCCTTAGTATCTATGAGGGCTTAGTTCCAGGACCCTCGCAGATACCAAAATCCACAGATGTTCAAATCCCTTTTATCTAGTATTTGTATATAACCTATGGCATATCCTCCTGTATACTTTAAATCATCTTTAGATTACTTATAATACGTTTCTTCTCACTGTTACTGCCTTAAACTAGGCCCTCATTTTATGTCTCGGTAACGTTGGTAACCTACAAACATCTTCCTGATTTCTATTTTTTCTTTATCAGTATATCTTGTTCAGTATTAGGCTAATCTTTCTAAAATGTTCTCAGTAGATCCTTTTTGGCAGTTAGCTAAAAGCCAAGCCTCTTGAACCAGTAGTCAATCTTCTACTTAACTGAACCACCTTTTCTGTTCAGGATCATCCCTTAATGTTCACCATTCTGTTAGGCTGGTGTCTTTATAGTCTTCTATGTAGATTAAGCTCATTTTTATTTCTTTGCATTTCTTCATTGATTTTCTTGTCACCAGTTGCACCCCCTTCTTTAGTTCAACTCCTGTGTTTCCAGTTCTAGTTTATTTTGTCTTCATGAGGCCATTTCCATGGCCATAGCACTAGGTCTATTTCACACATTCCAGTATACTTGCCTAGTTTTACATATCTTCTTTTCTTCTTTCTGTTTAACTGTACTGTGATTTTTCTGAGAATAGGACTCCTTTCCTTTTTTTGTCTTCCTCCTTTTAAATGACCCCAACCAAACTAGGAGCATAGTAGGAGCCTAATACATATTTCAGAGGTCTGAATTCTGCCACAGAAATAAAGATGAAATGAGGGTGATATATGCAAACATAAAGCACCATACATGAGTTCTTGTAACTATCTATAGCTAGTATTTATATCCTTTTTTTAAAATGGGAAAATGATTACATTTTATTAAAACACAAGAATTATGATACAGGTTGAGCATCCCTAATCCAAAAATCCAAAATGCTCCAAAAGCTGAAACTTTTTGAGTGCCAACATGACACTCAAAGGTCACACTCAAAGGAAACGTTCATTGGAGCATTTCAGATTTTGGATTTTCAGATTAGGGATGCTCGACTGGTACGTATATGCAAATATTCCAAGATCAGAAAAAAATCGAAAATCCAAAACATTTCTGGTCTCCAACATTTCGGATAGGGGATACTCAACCTGTATGTTCTGTTAATAAATAAAATGGTACCAAATTGCATATATACCAGTGAATAAATGTGAATTGAACACCACTTGTACTGTATTCTGGTTTTGATAAAACTCATTCTGATAATTGCTCTTTTCAATTTCCAACAGTCAGACTAATTTTTCATTCATCTTTGATATACAATAAGTTTTCTTTCTAAGTAGAAGTGACCGATAATTCCCCTCCATTATTTCTGTAATATAACAGTACTACAGTCCTCTCGTTAAATCACCGTCAACAGCTATGTTAAATTTAAATTTTCAATCTTCAGCTTCAACATCCTCAAGTTTGTTCAGTCCTGTCTTGTGTTCATAGACTCTAACTTACACACTACGTGTGTTCATCTGTATTTGGACCAACTTCAGGAGCTGATTATGATTTTAATGATGTTTTATTCGATTAGACCCTCTCCAGGACCTAGAAAACGCCAATCCTCTCAGTACAGTGACCCTAAACCACATGGTAACCGCCCAAGTACAACTGTCAGAGTTCACCGTTCATCTGCACAGAATCTTCACAATGACAGAGGGAAAGCTGTTCGTTGTCGTGAAAAGAAAGAACAGAATAAAGGAAGAGAGGAAAAGGTAAATGTTACTGATTTTCATAAATGAAAAGTTATTTATTAACCTTAAAAATGAAGGCTGTACAACTTTCAATAAGTTTTAGGCATCAACTAGCTAGAGGTATAATAAAACCCTAGTTGTGGCCGGATGTGGTGGCTCATGTCTGTAATCCTAGCACTCTGGGAAACCAAGGCCGGGTGATTGCTCGAGGTCAGGAGTTTCAGACCAGCCTGAGCAACAGCGACAGCCTGTCTCTACCAAAAATAGAAAAAAATTAGCCAGGCCTGGTAGCACGTGCCTATAGTCCCAGCTACTTGGGAGGCTGAGGCAGGAGGATCGCTTGAGCCCAGAAGTTGGAGGTTGCAGTGAGCTATGATGATGCCACTGCACTGTACCCAGGGTAACAGAGCAAGACTGTCTCAAAAAAAAAAAACAAAACCCTAGGCTGGGATTTTTTCCCACTTAGCATTCAAATATTTTGGCTTTTTCGGTAACTTTATATTTTATGTAATTTCAAACTAGCAAACAAGTTGCAGGAATGGTATAAGAAACATCCATATGATCTTTACCTGGTTTTACTGATTATTAATATTTTGCCCCTTTTGGTTTATCATTTTCTTTCTCTCTGAACTTTTTTTCCCCTAAACCATCTGAGACTAAGTTGTAGATACAATGCCCCTATACCATTTAATACTTCAGAGTGTATTTCCTAAGTACATTCTTTTACATAAAAAAGTTACAATTATCAAAAGCTGTAAATTTTACATTGATACAGTACTGTTACCTAATCCACAGACCTTCATAAAATTTTGCCAGTTATCCCAGTAATGTCATTTAAACCTTCCCCTCCTTCTCCCCCTTGCTCATATCAGAACACAGTTTAAAATCACACACTGCATTTAGTTGTTATGTTTCTTTGGTCTCTTTTAATGTGAACATTTCCTCAGAGGCTTTTGCCTTTTTTGGCCTGGCATTTTTGAAGAGTATAGGCCAGTTATTTTGTAGAATGTCCCTCAGTATGGATTTGTCTGATGGTTCCTCATGACTAGATTAAGATTATGCATTTTTGGCAGGAATACCACCAGTGTGGTGTTTTATCCTCTGAGTGTATTATGTAAGAAGGTACAGGATGTCTGTTTGTTCTACTTTTGGTGATAAATTGGATCACTTGGTTAAGATGGTGTCTGCCTGGTCTCTCCACTATAAATTACTGTTTTTCCCTTTGTAATAATTTGTGGAGTGATACTTTGAGACTAAGTAAATATCCTGTTTCTCATCAATATTTCATCTACTAGTTTTGGCATCCAGTGATTCTTGGCTGAATCAATTATTCCTACCCTGATTGCAAAATCATGATTTTCTAACACCATTATTGCTTCTATATTAATTATGAAAGCTGAGTGTAGACATTGCTTTGGTTTTTTTTATTTTGCATTTATTATTTTTAATTGATACATAATCATATACATGTATGGAGTATAGTGTGATAATTCAATACACATACATAATGTATAATGGTAGTGATAAAATCAGGGTAATTATCATGTCCATCACCTCAAACATTTATCATTTCTGTGTGTTAGGAACATTCAAAATCTGTTTTTTTAGCTATATGAAAATATACAATAAATTATTGTTAATTATAGTCACCCTACAGTGCTAAAGAACACTAGAATTGATTCCTTCTATCTAGCTATACTTTTGTATCCATTAACGAACCTCTGACTATACTCATCTCCATCCCAGCCTCTATTAACCATCATTCTACTCTCTACGTCTATGAGATCAACTTTTTTAGCTTCC